AGTTAGGGCGGGTTGGAGGAGTTCAGAACTTTATTATTATTATTATTTTGTAGGGGAGGTGGATATAACACACCTCCCCCCTTCAGTTTGGGGAATGAATGGCCCTCGTGGCATCTTTCCAAATCAGGGGCCGCGGGCTTGCCAGGTAGAACTTTTTAAGCAAAGGGGCCCTCCAGACTTGATAGTGACACCTTTTTTCCCCTGACAATCACATCACTGGGCTGATTTTCTTTTTTTTAACCTTATCTTCTAGGCTGGAAGCCTGCAAAATGCTATTAACCCCTTCAAGCCCCCCCTTTTAAAAATACATGTAGAGGAAAACATTGGAAAAGATGCAAAGCAAAAAAACATCTTTCCACACCTATCCCAGCTCATAGAAATGTCAGAAGAGACAGCTGTTTGGAAATAAAGTCTGAAGAAATAAGCATTCTTCAGGGTATATTGAGAATTAAGTGGCCCTTATTTAGGGCCAAACACCCAGACGACCACTTTTTCAGACTAGAAATCACAATTCAGCTCCCATCAGCAAAAATCACTAGCCTAATAATAATAATGGTACCAACAACAATAGTAGAAAGGTGTTTCAGGCAAAAGATTCAGCACCCTTCAAAGAATATAATCTTTTAAGAAGATAGTGCATATACATTTATTTCATAAGCTCCACTGTGAGAAGAACCTGAATACAGAGTATTCTTATTTTATACCCATTTTCAGAACATGATACCAAGATGGAAGCTCCGTGCCTTCACTGGAACTTAATGCCAGGAAGCATTAGAAGCCAAAGCCCTTAAGAGCACATTCTGGGTCTGCTTTTTATTCATTTGGGGACACGCTCGCTCAGCCTGTGATGGGTTCAAAGACGGCCAAATGAAAACGACACGGCGTTACGACCCACGGTCTGCAGAATGGGCTGCCCGAAACAGGTCCAAGAGCCATAACCAGACGTGATCTCAAATAATCCCATGCGTTATCAGGCTATTAAAAGATCCGCGATCCACACTTGGGGGACGGTTAAGTAAAGGCACTTCCCAAATGGGGAAGTGGCACTGTCAGCAGGCTGGAGCTGCTGGCCCGTTTTACCATGCCCCGCTGCATCACAATAATGATGATGATGATGATGATG